AACACTCGTTCAACACAATCTCCTCTGAAAAACAGAAGAAGGAACAATTTCATCCAGTCCAAAACGTTTTATGAATCCTGTATTACTGTGATATCAAAACCAGACAAAGACAGCACAGAAAAGAAAACTACAGACCAATATCCCTCATGCATCTAGAGGCAAAACTCAACAAAATATTCAAATATTCAGCAAAAAATATATAGAAATAAGTATCCACAACAACCAGTAGGGTTGATCCCAGGTATCCAAGGTCAAGTTAATATTTAAAAATCAATTAATATAAACTACTATATTAACAGAAGAAAAACCACATGATCATATCAATTGATGCAGAAAAACATTTGATAAAACTCAACATCCATGCATAATAAAAATGGGGGGAAAAAGGAATAGAGAGAAATTTCCTCAACTTGAAAAAGAACATCTCAAAAAATAAAATAAAACAAAATAAAAAACCTTACAGCTCCCATCCTACTCAGCGGTGAAAGACTGATGCTCCCTATTGAACAAGCCGGCAACGTGGGAAGAGCGTCGGTTCTCACCACAGCTGTCCCACACGGCACTGTCAGCCCCAGCCAGTGTGACAAGGGAAGCAAAGGAAATAAAAGGCATGTGTGTCAGGAAGGAAAAAAATCTCACGTTCATCTGCAGATGACTTGATTCTGTGTGCAATATCCCAAGGAATCTACAAACATACACCTAGGGCAAATATAAGCCACAATTACATAATTTATCGTAAAATTTGGTGAAAATGAAGATACCAAATGTCAGAACCTAAAGGATACAATTAAATTAGTAATTGGAGGAAAGTTCATAGTTTTAAGTAATGATATAACAAAAATTAAATAATAAAATAAATAAAATGTTCAACTCAAGAAGCTAGAAAAGGAATGACAAATTAAAACAAAAGAAAGCAGGAAGGAAATAATAAAGACAAAATTGAAAAGTAAAGGTTTTAAGTACACAACTGTAGCAGAACTAACAAATAAATTAAAACGCTGGTTTTCTTTTTATGAAAATCTACAAAATGGATAGACCGTTAACAAATCTCATCAAGAAAAAAAGGAAAATATTCAAATACGCAGGATAAAAAAATGACAAGAACTAACAAATAAATTAAAACGCTGGTTTTCTTTTTATGAAAATCTACAAAATGGATAGACGGTTAACAAATCTTATCAAGAAAAAAAGGAAAATATTCAAATACGCAGGATAAAAAAATGACAAGGGGGGAAAATGCTGAATGAGAAGGAAATTAAAAACAAAACAGAACAAATTACTTAAGCCCCTCCTTTGCATAAGTCTATGTAAATAAATTGAAAAGCCTAAAGTGGATAATTTCTTTTTTTTTTTTTTTAATTCACAGAGCTAGTAAGTGATTAAATGGATACTTTCTAAGGAAAATATACTTTACCAAACTCATGTCAGGAGACAACAATATTTAAACAGATCAATATCCAGACAGAGATAGAGAAATTATTAACAAACTACCCTACAAAAAAAGTCCAGACACATGATTTCACAAGGGAATTCTACCAAACGTTTAAAGACCACATAATTTCAATGTTACTTGAACTATCCCAGAGCACAAGAAAAGAAGAAAACATTTTAATTCTTTTTATGAACCAATAATAGGTATAACCCACAGAATATCTCCTCGGGCAAAATTTCCTAATAGAGCACCTCTGACTGCGAAATGCCCACACTTCAGGAAAACACACATCTCTCTCATTGTTGGATTTTTTGGCTGATGTTTATGTAGAAAAAATGTATACATCGTATACATCCCCAAACTCAATACAACCCTTCAAACAAAATAATGTGCGGGGAAACTCTCAGGAAAGATTTCAAATTTACTTGGTAGAGTATCAGAATCATGTGTGGATGTTTTTGAAAAGTGCAACAATTTTCATTTAAAGGAAGTGTCCAAAGCAATTGCTTATTAACAGCTATTTTAACTGGTGATCAGGAGACAATATGCTAAGTATTTTATGTCCCAGTGTGATAGTTTGTTACTTTTTACTATTTAGCTGTGCATTAGTTATACTTTAGGTAACTGGTTGGGGATTTTGAGTTGACATGTGGCACATTATAATTTTTCATCATTTAAAATAACGGGAACGGGCTGGCCTGGTGGCGCACTGGAGAGTGTGCCGCTTGGGAGCACGGCGGCGCTCCCGCTGAGGGTTCGGATCCCATGTGGAGAACCGGTTCCCGCTCACTGGCTGAGCACGGTGTGGGCGCAACACCGAGGGTTGCAATCCCGTTACTGGCCAGTAAAACAGATAAAAAAGGAAAAAAAATAAAATAAAATAAAATAACGGGAACGGGAGTCCCGTTCAGAACATTTCACTTCCAGGAACAGAGCAGTGAAGCAGTGGACTGAAGCAAGAGATAACTGTATGGCCCTGATGCCTAACCCTTGTGATGCTTAACACAATACAAGAAAGCTATAGAACACATCTCACGTAGAAGTACCGACCCAAAAATCCTACACAAAATATTAAACACAACCTAACGTCACGTTAAAAATAAATATAATAAACGAGTAGGGTTTACTTTGAGATTGCAAAGATAATGCCATATTAGGAAATTCATTACTATAAATCCCCATATTTAAGGAGAAAAAATACATTATCTCTATGGATGCTAAAAAGTTCCTCAACAAAATTCAACATCTATTCCAGATAAAAACACTTATTGAAATGCGAATTAACGGATACTATAACATGAAGTTACACACGTGATGTCACATCATGATTTTACACGCACACACACACTCCTCATGCCCCAAACCAGAATCTGACTCAGTACAGGCAGGAACAAAGCAAAGGTGCTCACGAGCTCCTCTCCCACTTGACAGCGTCCAGGCCAGTGCAATCAGGCAAAAAAAACGATAATAATGCGGGGCCTGAAACCTGGAAAGGAAGTGCTAGAGCTATAATGCAGAAGTTCTGACAGAAGAAAAGAAAAAAAAGAACCAACACTACCACTCAACAATTTGAGGATTCAGAAAAGTAGCAGGATGCATAATTAACATTTAAAAATCAATGACCTAGATTTCTATGTCTAACAGACGTAATAACAGGGACCAGGTTACCGCCCCCCCAGCAGTAACAACCAAAAATACAAGGTATCCAGAGAATGCAAAGCTGAGCCACAAACCAGGTCAAAATCCTTCTAAAACACAAACCTGATAAAAGACTTGTGTCCAAAATATACAAAAACTCATAAAACTCAACAATTAGAAAACAAAAACAAGCCAATTCAGAAGCAGGCAAAAGATCTGAACAGAAACCTCACCAAAGAAGATACACAGATGGCAAATAAGCATATTGAAAGATGCTCAACACCATATGTCACCAGGGAATTGCAAATTAAAACAAGACACCACTACACACCCAATCCGAATGGCTAAAATCCAAAATACTGACACCACCAAAAGCTGGTGAGGATGTGGAAAAACAGGAACTCTTGTTCATCGCCGATGGGAATGCAAAATGGCACAGCCGCTTCGGAAGACAGGGTGAGTTTCCACAAAGATAAACCTAGTCTCACCATACAATCCAGCAACCACACTCTTGCCTATTTACCCAAATGACCTGAAAACTACGCTCACAAAAAAACCTGAACGTGAATGTTAACAGCAGTTTTACTCATAATTGCCAAAAATCGGAAGCGACTGAGCTGCCCTTCAGTAGGTGAATGGCTAAACAGACTGAGGTACATCCAGACGATGGAGTGTTAATTCAGTGCTAAAAAGAAATGAGCTATCGAACCGCAAAATGACAGGCAGGAACCTCAAGTGCATGTCACTAAGTGACAGAAGCCAGTCTGAAAGGGCTGCACAGTGTGTGATTCCAACTCTGTGACGTGCTGGAAAAGGAAAACTATAGACACAGTGCAAAGCTCAGGGGCTGCCTATAGCAGCTACGGGTAAGGAGGGTGGGGAGGGGGTCACGTCTGGACTCCTTTGGGCAAAAGCCAGGTGGGGACCCTGGGCTTGTCCTCAAGCATATCCAGAAAGAATCAGACTGTGGCGAGCAGGGCAGGGAAGACAAAGACTTACTTGTGCCCATGGGAAGCGAAACAAGACAATGGACCAGGGACAGCTTTCCTTCAAGGACGCAAAGAGGGAGGGGAAGCTGAGCCTGCCACCCCCACTGTCATCCCCGGGACAATGGTATCATGACCGGGTCCCCGTTTGAAGCCTGGACGCTTCACCTGGCATCCACGTGAGCCTGTTTCTGTGGCTTCTCCCCTCTTCCCTCAAAATGCTCTCTCTGTACCTGAGAAGGGAAAGCAGCTCCACGGTGCTCATGAAATGCCCGCGCATCCTCCCCACTGTGTGAGGGTCTGTATCTGTCACCTGCAAGTTTCTCCCTACTAGACAGGCTTGGGGACAGGAATGACACCTGCACCTACACACAGTCAGGCATGGACAGGCTGCTCACTCAGGTCTTACGAACTGTGTGTGAGGGAGTGGGCGGAAGAAAGGAGGCAGCTCAGCCGGGGCCTCGGGGAAACCTCAGAGCAGGGACCACGTGAGCACGTGGGCAGGTGAGAAGACACCTACCGAGAACCTCCTCCTCCTCACCCGCTAGTTCTCGGCCCCAGTCAAGGCTGTGGCCACAGTCTTTAGCAGCTTTTGTGCAACTACAGAGAGTCGTGGCTGTTTTGTGTTCTGTCTTCCTACAAGACTGGCTCCCCTCTGCTGTGCTTGCAGCACCCTAACACAGTGCCGGGCACTTAGCTGGCAACTTGCAAATACTTTTGGAAGGGGGGAGAATGGAGCTTACCCTTCAGTTCTCTCTGGTGCACTAAAAAGCAAAGGGATATCAAGGGACAAATGCTGACAGCAAAGGGCTTTCTCTCCAGCTGGGAGAACAATGCGCAGAGAAAAGCTGGATCCACAAGCAGCTGTGGTGCAGCAGGAGGGACCGAGAGAGGTGGACCTGCACAGGCTGAGCCCTGCCCTACTGGTACAGGAAGATACTCACTGGAAACTACCGTTGTCTCCCCAGGAGGTCCTGTCAGCGTCACTGGGATGTGCACAGTGGTGCTCGGGTCTGAGGGTTGACTGCCCATCCGACTAACGTTTCGCTGATTGTCTGCGTCCTCTGGCTGTTCTTCCACCTTCTGGAGACAGGTGCTGGGCAGTGCATGCACAGGGCCCACACCCTGCGCCTCCAGGTCACAGTGTGGCTCCCTGCGACGAAGAATGCACATCAGAGTCTGACGCAGCCCCAGGCTCCTATTCAGTCTGCAAAACCCAGCTCCTTAAGCCTCTGCCCAGACCAAATAAATCTCTGACCACCTCCTCTGCTACTCTGGCATTTTGTATGGTTTTTATCACCCTGCACGCTTCTTCATCTTTAGATCTGAATGCTAGGGATGAGGCTGACTCACCTACCTGCCCCTGGCACAGAAACTGGCATAGCTGGCATCAAAATGTTTATGTGAAATAGAACTGTTTGCAGAATGAAGGACACTGGAGCAGGATGTGTCCCTAAGCCACTCCACCCGGTGCCCCCCCCCAGGCCAAAGGCCTGCACGGAGCTCTGCACACACAGACAGTGCGACTGCCGGCTGGTCCTGAGCCGTGGCCTCCAGCTGCTTGTGCTATGGGTGGCCTGTGGCCAGTTGGCAAGCATGGAGACTGCTACTGCCAACCTCCAGGCTCCTGTTACTCCAGGCCTCTCAGAGTCAAGGCAGGTCCCATGGCAGCCAAGGAGACGGCCACACCAGCCTGTGGGTCCTTTCTGTTGGTGGCCACACAGCCTGGCCCCTGGCTCCTGTTACTCCAGGCCTCTCAGAGTCAAGGCAGGTCCCATGGCAGCCAAGGAGACGGCCGCACCAGCCTGTGGGTCCTTTCTGTTGGTGGCCACACAGCCTGGCCCCTAGCCCCACCAGCCAGCAGTGTCCCCCTCGGGCTCTCTCATGCTCTCCAGCCTGTCCTCCCTCCACAGTGTCCCCCAGTTTCTATTCCTGGGGGGCCCCTTCGTTCCTCCCAAGCCCTTATGTCCCACAGCAAGACTGACAACCTCCCCTGAGCCCTTTCTCCTGGGGTCTCTTAAAATAGCAGCCGACACTCGTGGGCACAGTCCCCGCCAAGCAGCTTTAAGCACTTGAAGGGCCACCTTGCCGGGCAGGGTGAGGGTGAACGGGGCAGCCTGGCCAGGTCCGCTGACCAACCCCGTGGACCCCGCCCAGCCAGGACACTGGGGCCCAGGCGACCCCTGTCCCTCCACGGCCGCGTGACCGTTCGCTCACTCGGGCTGGTGGCTCCGGAGCTCCTTGTCCTGGGCGTCCTGGGTCCCCTGGGTACCCTCCGCCGCCTCGTCCGCGGCGTCCTTCTCGGCGGCCTCGTGCGCGGGCGGCGCCTTGTGCCGGGTTCGGTGGCGCCGCGCCGGG